ATGATTGTTAACACTCTGTAATAATTCTTTAGTATATCACTTGTGTGGTGTAGAAGAGAATTATTTATGTCGTGATACTGCTTGCAAACCAATGATGGTAAGATGATGTCATGGGGTAGGACTGGATAAGTCTGACTTCTTCCTACTCCATTCAAGCATGTACTAGGTATAAGCAAATTGATAAGGGATTAGCATTTGTTGGATATGTGTAAAATTATGTATGTTGATATATCAACTGTCTTTACATGCTTGAAAGAATAAATCAAATCAAAATCAAAAGTCAACAGTAGTGAGTGGGAGCTTTTCTTTCTTTCCTCTTGCATGATCCCTTTCTTTTTTGTACTTTCCCTCCTACACACAAGCACATAAACAGAAGACTACATAACTGAGTTGTCTGTCTGTTTGATGATTATTCCATCAGATCAAAGAAGCCAGCAGACTGCTAGATTCATGTCTTCAACAAGAACATGCACAAATGATTTCCCCCCCAAAAAATTCCCATTTAGATCTTGCTTGTTGATGCGAGAAATACCGAGTCTGTCCTGACTCTCTAAGAGGATTAATGAGACCGACCACTCACGTGCTCTACTTGTTATGAAACTTCCTCAGGTTTATCCTCATACATACAGTGCTGTTAAAAAAGGACCCACTTTTATCTGTTTGTAGCAGAGCTACAGTGAAAGAGGATTGACATTCTTAACTACTCCACAAATCCAGGTGGGAAAAAAAATACTATATGAATGAGATTTATTTGAAAATTGCAGCAAAGGTGGTGATTTAATGTTGTAATCTGGTGCCACCGTGGAATGAGATCCAATCCCTGCCAATCGGATCACTGAAAGTCTATGTTCATGCATAGTTTGCTTGTTTTACCCTGAGGCACTGGACCCACTGGGAATAAACACTTGAAAAATTGCTGTACTGTATTCTCATGCCTGCTATGGACAAATTAGGCTCACTGAATGCATTGGGCAGTACTTTGGATGCATACAGCAACTCGGAGGGCAATGTTTAACAAGTAGAGATGTTTCGAACAAATTGTAGTAATAGGGAGCCATAATAAATGCAGCACAACAGCTGTGAGGTATTATTTATAGCAGCTTATGTTCTACATGCGCTCTTTATGAGCTTTGTGCCCTCTTTTCTGTTGCAGTTGAGAATACGCTTGTGTGTCAGCACTGCTCCCTTGCACAGTGCGACACAGCGTGTTTCACTGACTGCCCTTACTGTTGCAGATGGTGCCCAAAGTGTCGTAGTCGTCAACACGCTCGCAGATGACCCTCCACTGGGAGAACACAGAGTTGGGGCTGATGGAGTTCATGTCGAAGGTGCTTCTGGCACCCAGCAGGTCATCGGTGCAGATGTCACACCTGCTACCTCCGACAGCAAAGTTCCAGTAGGGGAGGGCGAAAGAGGGGTCGCCCAGCATGTCCTGTGGAAGATTGAGTAAAGGGTGAAGGCAGATGTATTTCTTTACACATACACGCGGATGATCCATCCATGAACATCTCTCCTGAGCTAATTTTTTTTCACACGTCTTCACTTCCTTTGTGCTTTATATGTTCAATTATCACCACTTTTCACATTTTTTCATACCATTTACCACCTCAGTATATTTCTGTTTCACTGTCTCTTCTCCTTCCTCCCTGCTCCTCCTTTTTCCTCTAGGACTGCTTTTTGTGCCATTTCCATCTTTTCAAATCCCCACACACACTTTCCTTCCTTCCCTTACAGTACATCCCTGCTCCTGTTCTCACTTCCTCCACCTCTTCATCAACCCAAAATCCTCCTCTGTTTCCTCTTTCCCCTCTACACAATCCACACACCCCACCCCCCTTTTTTTCCATCTCTCCTCCATATTCACCTGCATGTCTCTCTCCAGTTGCAGCAGATGAAAACGGTGCCAGGTGACAAACCCCGGGCCCTCGTGGGAGAAGTCTATGCCTCCAAAGCTGGTCTGGCCTGGCCCCAGGTAGGTTTTACCGACGGAGTAGTAATGGCTCCAAACAAAGTAGTTATAAATGGTGATGTTCTCAAACTGCGTGGTGTTATCATCAGGCCCAAACACCTCCTGGTACCTAATGAGGGAAAGAACATGTCACCTCATGAAATTTTTTTTTTTCCACACTATTCTAAGAGCGTGTTTATCTTTTTTTTTTTTTAATGGAGAAACAGAAGTCAAGGTGGCAAATACAAATTGGTAGACACTGTATGAGCATACATTTAGTTTCTGTGTGTTGGGGACTTTAATACAGGAGAAATAACATTTTCTGGTTAGGAGGTTAAAAGCTGAGAACTGCTTCAAAAATGAATTTACTACAGTCTGCAGTTGCCTTGGAAGGAGGGTATTTTACACAGAAGATAAATACTCCTGCCTATGCTGATAATTTGCTCTCTCTCCCACCTCCAGCAAAACCAAGCTCAGAGTAAAGATCAACCTTCCTATGAAATTATGTAATTAAATTCATTTTCAAGTTTTATTAGAATGATTCTTATTATCAATACAGAATGAGTGGAACATATTTGTTCAAATGCGTATGTACCGTCTTGTACAGATGACTAGGTCAGGGTGGACAGTCTTCTTAGCTTGGTCCAGAGCGTTCACAAATGCCTGCTTCTGAGCTGTGCTCATCTGCATGATATTCCTCCTCACTGGGGTGGGATTAATGGGGTGGAGGATGACAGGAGGGCAGGGAGGAACAGAATGAGGGTTTGTTGAGGGATGGGAGGAGCCAAGGAAGGGGGAAGAAAGGAAAATGATATTAAAAATTAACATAGACATTTCTTTTTTCTAACATTACATTCTGCCTTCATTCTCTGGGCTGATGTATTTTCCTGTGTCCTATGAGTTTACACAGTGTCCCTTATCTTACCCACTGAGATCCTCTGATCACAGTTTGGTCCAGCCAGCCCATGTCGGCATCGCCCACAGTTGTAGCCACTGAAATTCCCATTACACTCGCAAGTGCGGTTGAAAAATCTCAGTGGCCACCTCTCCCTGTCATCACGCCCAGCATAAGGGTACTGGGGTCCGTGGCGCCGGTTGTCCGCTGCGATGGCCACACAGCGCCCCCTTTCTGTGCTGGAGCCACACTCGTCCCCTGCCACCCCCGTAGGAGATGGGCAGCACTGGCCGCTTCGCAGCCCCTCTGGGGTAACGCATTCCCGGGGAAACTGGGCCACCGTTAGGGTGGCACACAGGGTCACCACCGTGAGACCTGCTCTCCACATACTACTGTATTTCAGAGGGAGGGAAGATGAAAGAGATTTTATTAATTTTTTTTTAGGCACAAATTTAGATGTGAGAATAAAGTAGGTCAGGAATTATAGAAACAGAGTAGACATGTCGTACATGTTGAGAGTTGTTGTTTTCTGTCCACCTGTCAATATATTTCTAAACCACTTACAGTTTCATGTTCGGGGTTGTGAGGGGCTGGAACCACACTTTTGGTAGAATAGGTTGAATAAAGATAAAAAGCTCAATACACTGCAGACATACATGTCCATTAAACTCAAGAACAGCACACTTGGTTTGAGTGTAATGTTATTTTGAAAACTTCCCTTCACACACGCCCCTGCAGGCAACAGCAGTCATTATTCATAATTCACAAAGCCTTTAACTTTTTAAAGTTCAGAAATGCTTTTGACAGTAGATGGCAGGCGATTATTTGTTTCAACCTTTTATGTAGTTGGATTTGCTTTGTTTTGTTTTTTTAAAGCTTGTTGATTAGGAATGAATGAAGGAGAGCCTAATAGTTTGACAGGAGCAGTTATTTTATAACAAAATGATGATGACAGCCACCCAAAAAAAGTTCACATTTAAAACCAACTTGTTTAGATAATAAATGCGCTGCTCATTCATAATACTTAGCCAGTGCTGGTACTGTTGTATGTTTTCAACTGCAGTAAAAACCTGATTTTCATTCTTTAATTTTGCCAGTAGCTTAACTATACATTAATCTCTTTCCATTTTGTCTGTAAGCACTACTGAAGCTAGTATACTTATTGCATTCTACAGTGCATTATGTGCATAGTCATCAGTGTAATGCGTTTCGCCTACCTCTGACTGTGCATGTTGCTCCTCTGTCTGCAGAACTGTAGCCCCCTACCCCCAAGAGTCAGCCCATTCGCCTTTCCTGGATTAAATAGCTATCAAGCACATGACCAGACCTTTCTGAGGGCTATGTAAACACAAACACAGTGCACACACAGTTTCACTTGAGGGTTCAAGTGTCCCCCCCCCCCCCACTTTTCATTCATTTGTCTTGTGATCATAGCTCAAAAAATGCCAGTCTGTGTGGTTACTCGTATAAAAGATTTAACTGTGAGATAGCATTTATGCTGAAGTCATACTTGAGGAAATTTCCTCTCTTTCATCCCAGTAACAACACGGTTTTGGCTTGTTATCTGTGCAGAGGCAGACGGGTGTGTGGGGGACATTTCTTGATCATTTGTTTGTACAAGTTAGTCACTTGTTCCATTTAATTATTTGTATGATCAAATTATCAAAAAAAACAGAAGGAGAAAGAGGGAGAGAGTTGTGAAGAAAAAAACTGAAGGAGTTTGAAGACTTGAGAACACAAAGGAAAAAGAAACAGTCATCCTTATGACTTATGAAGCCAGTTACCATAGCCACTGAAACATCAACATGGATGACAGTCCTCTCTCCTAGATCTGGGAAATAGCACTAACTATCATGATACAGTGTAAAGCACATGTAGATGAAATAATAGAATATACTAGAGCAGATTCTGCTGTGTATTGTTGTACTGTTATAATATTTAACACGGCACCATTAGACATCCAGCAGTACAGCCAACAAAGTAAATCTACTGCTAAATCCACACTGCAGCCCCAACATGTAAGTTGCTTATTAGGAAATGAATATTGAAGTTCTGACCTAAGATGTCAGATTTAGGTGTTTAATCATTTAACTTCAACATAGTTTTACAAGGCATTGTGTTTTTTGTTTCTACAGTAAAATTTCTACAGTTTCAATAATATGGTCACATTTTGGATTTGTTCACCTATTGTCCCTAATGGACTTGAAGTAATTTTAAATGTGCAACAAGTGATGCCACTGCATCATGTCTCATGTTTTGTTAAATCCAGAGTAGTGTGTCCATAGCCCACCTTTTACTCTGTGGCTAGCTCTGCGCTATGGGGTTCATTTGTAACCTGCACAACTACTTCACCTTAAAATTTAGTGTCAGTGTTCCATACAGTGATTTAAAAAGAAAAAAATCCTGGTTTTCACTGCTCAATGTGCAAATGAAAGAAAAAAAGATTAGCAAAACATTAGAACATTCATATCTTGCAGAACAGCTATAGAAAAATTCCTACTGGGAGGTAATATTATTTTAATTTGGTACCACTCAAATCGCGACGATGATACAAAAGTCTGGTGTTATGTAGAATAAAAATCAAATCAAGATTCATCATCTTGATTAATGAGAAATCCATTTTGTAGGCTGAGGTTGTGCAGATATGGTACTCTGTGTTACGGCCAAAGCACTGCGAATGAATCTCATGGAGTTGCTGATGAAATGCTAAAATGGTTTACATCCCCTGCCCCTTTTTACATTCTTTTAAACAGCTTTGTACAGTATAACTGATGTGGTCAGTATGAAAAGCATGTTTGTAAGCCTAAACCCATAGACATCCAACTAGATCCATAACATTTTTATCACATTTAAACATTTTTGTCACATTTATACATTTTTGTTAAACTTACAAAATGTGCATTCACACAAGACTGGGCTCCAGTTGGACCCTTCAGAGAACGAAAGTCCTGAGGTCTTGTGAGGAGTCTGGTCGTGGTCTGGTGTTGGCTGACTCCTCTGTGGAGCTGGGCGAGAGGTCTGACATGGCTACTGCATGCTGCTGTTGGGTGTGGGGCAAGGTTAAAGCCACATCAGGTGGATCAAGTGCAGTTATCCTGACGGAGACGGCAGGAGGGCAGAGATTAACGGTTGTAATAGATAGATAGCAGAAAAAAACCTGTGAGATAGCACAAATAGTGACAGGCAGTGCATGTGATAGAAGCGACAATACAAATACAAATACAGATACAAATGATGATCGGATCTGCTCATTCTGATGGGACACTTGAGGTATCAGCAGATGCAAATACAACTTAATTTGCTTTGTAGGCTGTAGGCTTCATAATGGCTGTCAAAGTGCTGTTGAATATGCTGCTGTAAGCGACTGCTGATATTCTCACTGCATGGTCTGTTTATGTAACTTCCACAACAGATGGAGGAGCCTACAAACCTGTGGTGGTGGAAGGAGATTCTGGGAGGTAATGACACACCAAGATATAAATGGATCACTTGACATTATTGGTTAATTGCAGGTGACGCTGACCTGGGTGGGGGAAAAAAGTGCTGAATACATTTGAACATGCCCTAGATGACTTATCCTCAAGGGGACTCAGATGGCTACAGTATCTTCATGTCTTTCCAGATGTATAAAGCATGTATGCTGAACAACTGCATTTTCTCCGGAGTCCACTGTGGCCATTCCTCTGGTGTAACAATACAGTTCTGCTATCTGCCCAAACTTTTATGTGTTTCACTCATGTACCAGGTTTAATAAATAGCTGCAGCACTGATATTCAAGTTCGGGTGGTTTGACCCAAGATTTGTTCAGCAGCCAAGGCCAGATACAGATCTTCTTTGTGATTGCAAATCTACCATTTTGCTATTGTAAATACTGCTGCTTGACTGTATGTGAGCCCTCTTGTGGCCAAAGTGTGCAGCTGCACTGCTGAGTACTCCGAGCATTTTACCCCTAAACCGACGGGTGAATGTCTGTCATGTCTATTGTTTTTCTTGAATACCTTTCAAACTAATAATGATATTAACATCATTCAAAATGTCACCAGTAGGTTTCCATCATCAAGTAATTATATTATGAGGGTCAAACTATCATGGCAAAAGTGGGAAACGAATTATCATTGCTTTTATGGCATTATGGGGAAACTGAGTTGCCCCTGGCGGAGGTTTGCACTCTCTTGAGTGCTGTTTTGTTCTCTATGTGGTCTCAATCTTATGCTAGTTTGATTTCCACAAGTTTCATTTGGTGGTTATACGTTCCAAACTATCCATGATTTCCATAAAGCTTTTCTCATGGCTTTCACAGTATGTATATATTTAGTCATCTGGCATACAAGGAGCACCCCTCTGTCTTTATTGCTCAGATGATACTGCTTAAAATGTGACTTTTACATAGCATTCTTTAAGAGTCTTTTATTGTTTGTTGGCAGTGTTTTTCATGATCCTCTTGATCCTCTTCAGTGATTCCCTCTTCCTACGACAAATCTCTTAACAAGGACACATTTCAAGATGACTCCGTCGACTGCTAAATAATTCAGTGTTGCTTTGTTAGCGTCTGTGCGAGGCACGCATCAAATTTCTCTGTCTTTTGTGCACACTTTCACTTGAACAGCCAACAGACAAGCACTAATAGGATCACATGCACATAACATTATATGAGCACATACTCCCCCCACCCCAACACACACACACACACACACACTTCTATCTTTGTGAGGACACTTATTGACATAATGCATTCCCTAGCCCTTCACCCTTACCTTAATCGTCAAAACTAACTGAACCCTAAAACCAAAGTCTTAACCTTCAAAAAGGTGTTTCAGAAAGTGAGGACCAGCCAAAATGTCCTCACTTTTCAAAAATGGCCTCACTCTGTAGCAAAAATTACTTTTTGGTCCTTATTGTATAGCAAGTACAAGAACACAAACACACACACACACACACACACACATACTGTATATGCAACTTTGGATTATTATTATTAATCCCGCTAATCTGATTGGGAAAATGGTGGATATTGGCCAGTGATTGCTCTGGGTTCACAGGACTCTCACACTCTCATGTGATGCAGTGTGCAGCTGCCTGAGTGCATAGCTGAAAAAACAACCAGAAGGGAATCAGCTGAGAAGCACACAGCGAGTAATTCCTATGAACCACAAGCTTTCAGGTCTGTGCACCACATTTAGTTGGCTGACAGCGGGCAAGTCTGACATCCGGCTAATGATAGCGACAAGGAGACATATACTGTAGAAGTCAGTCTGGAAGTTGCCGAAAATCTGACTCTAAGAAGGGAGAGAGGAAGAGCCTAGCAGAGAGGTGTAGTTTGGCAAAGGCTGAAAACTAGATCTTTGTCATTGCTTCGTTAAATTTATTGGAAGCCGACATCAGAATAGTGTCCGGATCGTTTGTCTTTTTTTTTTATTACTAATAGTATTTTCAGCCATCCCCATACAGAGACTAAAAGTAACAGCAAATTGCCTCTACTCATGGTTAACACAAGTGTCACTGTGTGACCCGTTTCTTCATTAGCAGACACCAAACCTGAGTGTGAGTAGCTAGTGGAAGGTAATGGAAGCTCGCAAAATCTTGCACATATGCTGCGGAGGGTTTAACATGCAGAGCTCTAACATGCAGAAGAACAAGCTAATGCAGGACTTTTGGACAATGACCATGAGCAGAGGCAATTCACTGCCGGTTTTATTCTTTGTACTGAGACTGCTAAAAATACTATTGATATAGAAAATGACTGGCCTTATTCCTTAATCAGCAGTTTTGAATTTTTGTACTCTTCCTTGGGCTTGTCTGCTTTGAAATTGTTTTAGAAAAGTTATATTGTATAAATACTTTACGTTTTAATATATTGAACATTTGGCTGTTAAACTTAATAATGAGTAGAGAAATGTACAGTAGTGTATAGAGTGCAGGTCCAACCATATGTTGCAGGAGGTATCACTGAATCATTTGAGGAGAATAAAAATGGTGTAATGTTACTGTGCAGCCTTTGCAGTTTGAAGATTTTAGATGGATGTGTTAAATAGCACCCTCCCCCGCCATCATCAAAACACACATTAGGAAATATCTTTTGAGAGAATGGTGTTCATCCCTCTAGTGGAATTCCAAAGACTTGAAAAATGCATAAGTCATACTGGAGTGATATGACATTTTATGGTGATTCTTTCCTTTGTTTTACGTGTGTGTGTGTGTGTGTGTGTGTGTGTGTGTGTATGCACTGTTTGTACTTATCTGCCAGCACCATAGATATTTTAAAATGTTTACATACTGTTGAGTGTGTCCATTGACTGCAGGCAGTGTGTCGTCACCGCAGTCACCTCCTGTAGCTGCCTCTGGATCAACACATCTTTGCTCGCATGTCCGCCGAAGAGCTGTGGTACTGCATACACACCCGCATACACACCCACAAACACACAAAATCTCAGATATTACTGTTGTTGCTTACCGCTTGCTTTCTACAAATTAGCTGTGTGTTGCATTCGGCTATGTGGGGAAAAATAAAAACTAGTATAGCTTATTACTGCTGGAAGACCATTCTCTTCTTGTGAACAGCAGAAAATCACTGAACCAATATTAAACACGGCCTCCTCATTTCATCATCTGTGAGTGTGGAAATGTTCGCTACAGCGTGGGCAACATCAGAAGCAATCATGTACCAGCACTACTATAAGTCCCATCTGTGTTTGTAGCACTGCTGGTACAACAGCTAGCAATCACATGGCTTATTTCAGCTATTACAGAAGAAGCACTTGGTCATGGTTGCTACTAATGTGAATGCAGAATCAGTATTATTTAGATTCCCATTCATAAAAAAAAAAAATAAAGGAAATGAGTCACCTTTACAAAGGCTGAGCCAGGACTCAAATTCATGCTACGGTACAGTAAGATTAGGTTTATAACGGAAATCTATTTTTGTATGAAGCTGTTGGATGTATAATGTAACCCAGCCTTTCCAAATTATGACAATGGATGGCAGGTTACAAGAAATTAAGTAAAGCACATTTGGACTGTACTTTCAGTCTATCAGAAAATGTTAGGCTGCAAGACAATATATTTGAGAGGGTGTTCCTGGAGATAAAGTGCACAGAAACCAGTGCTACCTACCCGTTTTTGTTACGACACTTGAGGATATAGATAATGATGACAGCAGTCGCCAAAACTAGGAAGACTGCAGCAGAAATAGCCCCAATCTTCCATGCCTCCAGGCCCGGCTCACTCGTCTCTAAACCGATACATTAAGGCAAAGTGAGAGCACAGAAAGAGAGAGGTATTGAATTCAGGGGTGATTATGTAGTCATTTGCCCATCAAAAATATGAAATCAAATGCATTACAGTTTGGTACAACTAAATCAACCGTCCCTCAGCTGCACACAAAGGAAGCTGACGTTCCATCCATTTTCCATTAACACAACACAGCTTTCCAGAAAAGAGGAAAATACCTTTTTCTTTTTCTTCCTTTAGTATCAAAATGCCTTTTTCTGCTATGTTATTTTACAGTTACAGTACCTTTCAGCTATTTTAAATCACAGTAGCTCAAAGTGGCCTGTGTGTGATACATAGGGACATAGAATATGAAGTAACTACTTTTCTTTCCTTTTAGAGAAGCAGAAAATGGCATATTGTGTTGTGACAAGATGGTCATTCTCCCACCAGTTTGTGTGTTAGCCTGCTGCACAACTAATTCCAGTGGAACATCAACTTGGCCATCCACATGTTTTGCAGGCAGAGCCATGATTATGATCCTTGTTGTTGTTGTTGTTCTTTATTCAGGAAATCTACTCTATTATAGTAGACCCAAACCCATTTATAACCTAAGATCCAGTTCTCTGTGTGCTTGAGAAATACACTGCACAACAAAGAGTTGAATTGCACACATTGTTTTTCTCTCAAAGCTACAGGCAGTTGTAATACATTGCATTTTTATTGTTTCATTTTACCTGTGGTTTCAGCTGTATCTTCCACCAGCTCTCTGGTCTCCCCTGGTTCCTCCCCTTCTGCCTGAGCACGTACAACTAGAACGTCCATCACAAAATTATCTAGTGTAGGTCGTGCTACAGCAGGTTGGTGTGGCACGAGGTCATCGGTCGGGGTGATGATCTCATTGCCATGGTTAGATTTCTCGTTGCCAGGAGTATTTTCACCTGTCATGACCCCACCTAATGGGGATGAGCTCAAGGTGTGGGCCTGGTTCTCAGGGCTCTGCTCTGTGGGGGCATCGGCACCATTTTCAGGCTGTGGGGCTGAGATCACCAACACTTTTAAATGAGGCGTTTGGAATGTGACATGCACATGAACATTAAGCCAAGAGGCCAAGGCTTGGGTTTGCTGAATAGACTTAGGGCAGTGTAGAATAGTGCATAGATGTGCTGTGTGTAGCAGGTAGGTAGGTCTGTAGGTCATGATTTGTATGTATTTGTATGCAGAATGGGTTATAACGTATCAGTGTTTGCATGTGTCACAATAATCAGGTGTTAAGAGAATTTTAGAAATTTAGACTGTTAAATGGTTAATGTTCATGTCAAGATATTACAAGAAAACTTTTTTTTTCCAAGTACTTTCTAACAGAACCTTATTATGATCCTGGAAACAGTTTTAAACTTTGCTTGTTTTCCAAACAAACTGCATGGCTAATACAACAGAAGCAGCCGGTCTAATGCAACTAAATGTTTAAATACAAAAACCATTGCAGCTTTTGGTTTTTGTCCAATTTATGAGCAGGTTTTACATATTTAAAATTTTAGATAGTTAATAGATAAGGTTGCCAGAATGTAAAATTAATATGGCAGATAGAATTTTGGATCTCGTAAATAAAATGGGTATTAACGTGACTAGAAGATTTGGATTTGTTTGGAATTTTGAGGTTTCAGACATCGTTTGTAGGTTTAAGGGGTTTCACCACTGTGAGACCTTATTTCTTTGTGCTTCGTCTTAGTTCAGCGCCTTTCCTACATTTTTGCAACCCTTGTGGAATTACACATATCTCACCTTGATCCTCTGTTTCAGTTCTACGTGAAGTCTCCAAAGTAACTTGCACCTCTTCTCCTTCTTGGGCACCCCCTTCAATCACCAAACCCACTGATTCCTTCTTGATTTCACTCTCTCCGTCTCTTTCTCCTCCTGCTGCTTCCCTAACATCTGTACTTTGCGATTCTTCTTCAGCAGCTCCTCCCTTCACCACCAAATGAACTTGTTTGGCCTCTTCCTCTGGTCCTGCAGCATGATTCACTATGTTTCCCTCTTCCTCCTCCACAACTAACCCTCCTGATACAGTTTGTGTGGTTTCTGGCTCATAATTATCAGAAGGTAGCATGATCACCTCACCTTCCAGTTCATCTGCCTGACTTTTTTCCTCTGATTCTTTCTTTGACCATGCGTCTCCTGTCTGGGCCACATCAACTGCCACCAGGTCAGGGTCGGACTCCTCAGTCTCCTGTTCTGGTTGTCTGCCCAGTGGCACCTCCACTAAAGCTGGTGCTTCCCCAGCCTCCTGTGTTTCTTTTTCAGCTGCTCCTTTATTTTCTGACAACACAGCCTGCTGCTTGTTGTCCTCCTGTACTGCTAAATCCCCTCCTGTTTCTTCTAAAGTAGCTGCCATTTCCTTTACAATCTCCTGCCTGATGTCACTGTTTAGAGACTTATCGATAACCTCCACTTTGTCTACACTTACCGTGATCTCCTCCATAGATCCAGCTGCAGTCTTCCCTTCCATCCTGACAGCTCCTTTCTCCTCCTTAGCTACATGTTCAAATGCATCCACCTCTAGCTCCTGCTCCTCTCCAACACCAGTATCTTCACCCTCCTCCTCTTCCACTGCCTGCTCCAACACCTCTTTCTCTGTGCCTACTTCAGCCTCTTCATTTTCAGCCCCCTCTTCAACCACTTCCTGCACTGCTTCCTCATCCCCTTTCACTTCTCCCCCTCCTTTCACGTGCCCCAGAGCTGCCTCCACCACCCTCTCCAGCAGCTCCTTTAGCACTTGCTCTACCCCAAGACCCTCCACCTGCTCTGAGGCCTTATCTACAACCTGCTGCACTTCCTTCAGGCTAAGAGGGGCCACTGCTGGCACCATATCTGCAGGGGGCACCTCTGTTTCCTGGGGTAAGGCCGGGTTATCTTGAAGGGTGACCATGGTTGAGGGTTGGATGGAGGTAGACAGACCTAGTAAGGATGTGTGAAACATTTTTAATGCGTTGTAACAGCCCTAAACACCTCAACAAACTTGGAATATATGATTAGTGGAGTTTTGTGTTATATTGGTACTGATGATGAAGGAACGTTGATCAACCAAGGACTATGGTTATGCTATATTGTATATAATGACAAACATGGTGCTGTGCCACAGCTTGAGAAATTTAGAGACATTCCATGTGCCTGCTGTTGATTGTTTGATTACATAATTGATACTTTAATAAATACTGATTTGTTCTTTTGCGCCTTCATTGAATCACTTATTTGTTGAATCAAAATACAAATATAGAGGAGTGTAGCACATCACATGTTGAAACAAGGCTGTTGGTTTAAAAAAAAATCCAGTTTTGGTTTGGAGTCAGTGTTCATGTTTTTTTCCATCAAAATACAAAGCTGTTATCAAATAGATAATTGAACCTGTTTTCACAATGCCACCCTACCTTCACTTGTGCAATGCTGTATCAACAAAACCACCAGGAAGCCTTTCAAAAAGCAGTAGTCCATGTTGTCAGAAAAAAACATGAAAAATATACTCCAAAATAACCCCAGTCTCTCTTAGGAAAACACTCGTTACCTCCCTTTGTTCCTTCAGTCCTGCTCAGAAATGTTTAAGTGTGTACATGTACACCACCACCAGACATTCACCGAGTGTGTAGACACTGGATGTTTGGACAGTAAATTGGGCCTGGGCAAGGAGGGTGATGTTAGCAGGTGACACTGATATGAGGGAGGGTGAAAAACATTGCTGTGCTAAATATTGCCATCCTGAGGTGCCTTCATACCACCAGGTGTCTGTAGAGCAGTTTTGGGGAGGGGGTTAAAAGTAGCATTTCAATGTTGAATGCTTTTGAGACCCTTTCAAGTGCTGTGGTCAAACTTAGACGGCATGTCGCACACACTGAACTCTGCAGCAGCAATTATATGTGGCGTGTGAGTTTAGGGTGTGATGTTTCTTGTCATAGAGCTAGAGAAAATAGATCCGAGTGCAACACAGCACTATTGTAGGTATAATAATAGCACAATGCACCTGACATTCACACCTGAATAGAGGTATTCCCTTGAGTTAGCATTTCAGGCAGACTATGTGAAATTGCTTTTGTGTGTGTGTGTGTGTGTGTGTGTGTGAGTGTGTGTGTGTGTGTGTGTTACTGGTGTTTTCCTTTATTTCTGCTAAACTATACACATATACTTCTGTCATAGCCGTCTTGAGTATAAAGCAAAGATTAGAACAATATAGTAATGCGTAATGCTATCCAGCTGTTTGGTTATCTAATAGATATCCATGCCTGTCATGTTATGTAATACAAAGAATGTTTGTTATAGGTCTAGTGTGTCCCTGTTCAGTCTAACAAGGGCATGGCTAGTGTAGAAATACGCAGAAATCTGAAGCAGGTGTTACAATAATTGGGATCTGTCTGTAAACATACAGTATCAGCTATATTGTATTGCTAGAGGCAATGAAAAATCCCCACTTGAGTTGCTGTGCAGCAGTTTATTTATATTCATATCCAGGTTAGCATCATTGAGACATCCCAAGTGTGCATAACAAGCACTTGGACTCAAGTGTCTGAAATTTTCTCTGTGCAGCATAAGACTGAACATCTGTGTTTTCCACTCACTAATATGTCATCATATATTGGTGATGTGTGATGATATTCATGGTTGTGTTAATGCATCAAAGCATCCAGATCTATATTGTATGAACAGTTCAGGACCGAAGGGCTGACATGACATACTGCAGTGGAGGAAATGGGCTGTTGCTGAGCGGGCTTAGGTTTTTTTTTGTTTTTTTTTACTGTGCTTCACCATTGTAGAGATAACTGTGACAGTCTATAGGTCCACCACTACAGTCTAGGCTGGAATATATCAGCAACTGTTGGATTACCATTACATTTGGTAGAAGCATTCATATGGGTCCATGAATGAAGTATAAATTACCTGTCATAGTTCATCCTGGGTTTTGGATAATGTGTCTTTTGTGCTCTTGTGAGTGCTTTTCCCTGCACCATTTTCACATTCACATAATTGTAAATAGATAAAGACAGTAGCCAGTTCATAGCGCAGTGGTCGGCTGTGGAGAGACGGTACATACTCTTGTTGCAGCTCTTGCTGCTTTTTACTAAGTTGAACGTGTAAATTTGTGGGATGATGCTTCACTCCCTTTTCTTTTACACACACTGAGGATGAAACTATGTAAAAGGAAGCAGAGGAGGTGGAACCAGCCAGCCAGAGTTTTAGATGCACGGCCTTTTACTGAGTTGCACAGAGTCATCGATGCTCAGACTCATTTAAGTGAATTTAAATTCAGGCACTTAATTGGTAATTTATTGTCATGCTAAATGCTCTGTGACAAAATGAATAGATCCTTTTTATACTTAAATAGTTTTGTTCATTAATGGCTGTCAGTGGGAAGTAAGGACTGATGTTTAAGGTGATAAATTTAAAATGAGTGTATTATAGATTCAAATGGATTAAATGTTGCAGGGTTGTTGAGTTAAAATGTGTAACTAGCATCTTTTCCTTCCAGGTAAAGACATTAGTCGTCGGTCTGCCCCTCACTGCCCCAGTCCTCTGAGTAAAATATTATGCTTTTGATACAGTATACTGTATCATAGGATGCTGCCCTGTGATCTGCTCTTCTGGGAAGCTCTAGTGTTTCTCTCCTTTCAATGAAATCAGCTGACCCCGGCCAAAGGCACCAGTGACTCTCGTGCTGGAAGACCAGTGTGACAAAACTATAAACCTGTGTCATGAAACCAGTGAGACTTCTTATCCCGCCAGCTTGTTATCTTGCTGGCTTCCCAGCAGGAGCGCTGACAGTCTGCTCTAAGCTATGAAACAAACGATGGAGATAATAGAGACTTTTTTGCTTTTACTGTTGTCATAAGGACATGTCAGTGTTGCTCTCTGTGGTCTTTGTGTTGCTTTTGAAGCCACAGGGGGTGCCACACAGCGATCTCTGCTTCAGTTTGATTTACTTGACAATTCAGTGCCAAATCTGTACTTCTGCATATCAAGCGCTTCTGTTCTTTGACTCAAAACAAACCATAGATAGAAACTTCTACATGAGGGCTACAGAGGAGCAGCAAACCATATATGAATTGTTTTCCTCCCAGCTTCTTGACTTCTTGATTATTTTTTCCTAACTTTCTGATCTCTCGCTTTAACTCATTCATGAATGTAGGAGGTTAAGTCTGAAAAGTTAATATCATTACTTGTGTTTCACATTGTGCTTTGTGCTACCAGGCAGTAGCGCTCCATACTTGACTTGTGACTGGACTGCAAAGGTTACAGCCACCTGACACTCTTTACATCTTAACGCAGACACGCATTCCT